CTGGCAGAGGGCAGGGTGCTGCCAGGCTCTGGGGTGGCTGCAAGGGGTGGGTGCATGCCAGAGAAGGAGGGACAGACAGACAGACACCACACAGCACGTAGGAATCCACATAACAGTCCCCTTGCAGAGGGTTAGGTGACAGGGCAGAGGCCATGAGCAGCAGCAGCACAGAGCTGCCACCCCTCTCATCCCATGGACCACCATCTCCACCCACCCTGGGGGTGCAGGATCCATCCTGAAAATGGAGCCACTCCCCACCTGCAGCTTCTTGCTCTCAGCAGCCGGGCCCTTGGTGACGCCGATGCGGTGGAGCATGACCTGCACACGCTGCTCGAAGGAGCTGGACAGCTCCCCCTCGCTCTTCTCCAGGTGCCTCTTCTGTAGGAGAGACACAGCCCTGCCAGGGACATGGACCCGCCACAGCACCTACAGCACCCACCTGCCTGCCTGGGGAGGACCCAGGTCCCCAACCCCAAGTGTGCCACCGGGAGACGGTGACACGGACATGATCTAGTAGGGACATCCCCACCCATTGCTCCGGTGTCCCTGCATTCCCTGGTGACCCCACCACCAGCATCCGTGGGTGGGAGCAGCACACACTGGGAGAGCCAAACAGCAGTGGTGGCTCAGTGACCGTGACAGTGCTTACCTTGTCATGCCTGACCCCCAGCGCATCCTCATCCTCCCCGGACAGCAAGATGAGTGACTGGGATTTGCCCTCCCGAGAGTACTTGGGCCGGATCCTTCGGGCAGAGTCGGGGGTCTGGCAGTGCTCAGGCTCTCCCTGGGGCTCAGCAGCGAGTCCCCCCTCCTCCGATTTACTCAGTGGCTTCCCCGCCTCGCCCGCCTTGCTGGGGGCTCGTAAAATGTCACTGAGCATTGAGCGCCTGCTCCTGGGGGCAGCGGGACCACCCTCGGGCTCCTTCTCACACCTCGAGCCCCGGCTGGATTTGGGTTTCTTGAAGGCAAAAAAATTCCCGATTTTCTTCTTGAGGGTGCGGGAGCCAGAGGGAGCCAGAGGGGCTGATCCTGGGCAGGTCTCCGGAGCCGCAGGGCTAGGGAGAGATGAAGCATTGGAAAAGGTGAGCTCCAGGCTGCTGAGAGACAAGGGATCAGCTTTTTCCCCCACCACCACCTCAAATGGATCCAGAGACCCTGGACATCCCACCTGAGATGACAGTATCCTGCCAAGGGCACCCATTCCCAGTGAGGGCTCCCATGGGTGCTGCCTCATTGCCTCCCCAGTGCAGGACAGACCCCATGGCCACATTCTGCACCCTGTGGCTGCTATCCCAGTCCTCCCCCCCCAGCCTTGCCCTGGGCAATGCCCCCGGGTGTGCTGCTTTCCCCAGCATCCCTTTGGCACTGGGACCAGCAGCGTTTGCAGGAGTGGCTGCTGAAATCCCAGGGATGCGTGCGTGACAGAGTGCTGGGCGGGTGAGGGGCCCTGGGATCCCCCCAGGCTTACGGCAGTGCTTCTGTGATGAGCCTCTTGGCAAAGAAGTCCTCCAGCCCCTCGTCCACACGGGTGATGCTCCTGTCCTCGCTGTTCTCACAGGCCACGGGCTGTACCTGTGAGCAACCACGGCTGTGAGCCCAGTGTGGGGCAAAGGTTCCCCAGGCACAAAGAGGTGTCACCCACGCCTGTGCACAAACAAGTGGGTGCCCACACAGGACAGGTGCTGGCACCCTCCATCTCGTACCCAGCATGAAAGCCAGACCACAGTGTTATCAGTTGCATCCCAGCTCTAATCCTGCTGCATCCCTTGAGCATTGGGAGGCTCCAGCCAGTCCCAGGCTCCTGCCAGCCCCTCGCCCCTCTGGGTGCCACGTGTGGGGCTCCTCAGCACAGTGGCTGGGTATGGCACCCATACTTGCTCAGGTACACTTGTGTTACACCCAGGTCAGGTGGTTCTGACCCTCCTGGTTTACACACAGTGGCAAATCCTGCCAAAGCCCTCCTAGAGCTGGGCCAGGCCTCTGACCCTGCTGGCTCTGTGGGAGAAGCCTTTAGCAGAGATGCTTCCTCCATTTGAGCTCCAAGGAGGGGACCCCACACTGCCGGTGGGTGATGGAGCAGGTGACCTGCAGGGGCCCCACATCTGTATCCTTCAGATGCTTCAACTACAGCCTTGGAGCGTCACCACAGCCTGCATGAAGGCCACTCAGTCCCTCCCCATGGCCAAATGGTCCACGCCATGGCCAAGCCTTCCTCCATGGCACCTTCCTCTCCGTGGCATGTGGCGCCGCATCAGTGGCTTCCTATTGATGAGAGGGAGGCGCTTCCCCACCGGTGACATTTCAATCCATAACGACTTTTCATTACAGCTGGATTGATGCCGTTCAGGAGCCGTTCCAGCCATCTGAGATCTGCTCTCCCTGTCACATCACATCCATCAAAGCCTGTCCTTGCTCAAGCCTTGGCCCACCCTGGGTGCCAGGCGTGCCTGTCCCACTGCAGGGTGATGGTCCCCCGGCCCTGCCTGGCCCGGCCAGCCTCCAGCACCCACCCTGCCTGTGGGACACAGCTCCTGCCTCTCCTCCGGCCCCGCGCCAGCGCTGATCCCACTGCCATCCAAGGGCAAGCATCACCGTGGCCATGCAAGCTGGGGCTTTCTGGCAAGTGAAAGGATCCAGCTGCATCACGGTGGCGTGGGGACAAGGTGATGCCAGCAGGATCCAGCCCCAGGGACAGCGACGGAGCTGGACTTACCACCGACTGCACCCAAAAGTTACTTTTCCTTTGGGAAAGGGGGTGCAAAGGCAGGATCCCCATCCACTCGCCTGTTGGATGGGGGGCAAAGCAAAACCCACCCCGCCACAGCTGGCAGAGCCCCACCAGCATCACTGGGAGCCGTGGTGGCCACCGGTGCTTCAGGGACGATGGGTTTTGGATGAGGGGGAGCAAACTGAGCGCAGGAGGAGGGAGGCAGCCGGAGCCATTGCCGAAAGCATCGCCGGCCCTCTGCACCCAAACTCTGCGGGTTTTTTCATTCCTCCCTGCCTCCTTGCCGGCTCCCACCGCTCAGCAGGAAAGGGGATGGATGATCCCCCTCGCCCCCCGCCCAGCCCCCTTGCCCATCCTTTGGGGCAGCCCCCCTCCGAGGAGGAGGCTCCGGCAGCAGCTGAAATGCAGGATAATAAACCCACCGCGCCTCCTCGCATCTCATTTTCCTGCCTTGCAACAAATACTGACCGCAATAATTCACCCAAGCGGGAAAAAAACCGGGAAAAACAGACCAAACACACACCACCACCCCCCTTGGCCAGCCGCGCCCCCCCCTTACATTGGGCTTGCTGGGCGGCTGCTTGTGCCGGCGGTTGGGCCGGGCCTGGCTTTGTGCAATGTGCTCCAGCTTTCTCGCCGGCGGTCGGCAGGTCCATAAGAATCCGGTGGCGTGGGCGTGGCGGGCTCGTGGCGGGGAGCGAGCCGCGTCGCAGGCTCAGCATCCTTGGTGGAGGCAGGGCCGTGGCCGGACGGTGCGGCGGGCTGGAGTGACGGCGGCGCCCGGTGAGCTCGGAAGCCGCTGGCGTCTCGACCCGCCGGCCGGCTCCAGCTCCGACACAGCCACGAGGCGAGAGGGTCCTTAGTTGACGCCCGGCCGGCCGGCAGGCCCTCCCCAATCACAGTCATCATTTCATCATCATCATCACCGACGCCGTCACCTGTCGCCCACGCCGGAGGCGTCAGCGGGCTGGCTCCGCCGGGGAGGGAGCGTGGGCCGTTTTTGCCCCCCCCGGGGGGAGCGCGCGTGGCGGCTTTGCGGCGCAGCCCGGGATGGATCCTGCCACCGCCGCTGGAGGTTGGCGTGCAGGGAATGCTGGGGGGATGTGGGGAGATGCTCGGGCAGGGACGGAGCAGAGCCCCGCAGCCGAAACCTGCGGCAGGCAGCAGTGGTACGGAACGAGCTCTGCCAGCGCTGGCCCGAGGAGCAGCACCCACAAACACACACGTTTTGCCCTGCAGGCAGCTCCTCACCACCCCCCCGTGTGTTCCCTAGGCTGGGGGTCAGGATGCTGTGGGGCTCAGGGACACCAGGAGTCACCTGGGGACACCGGGGTGCTGGGCACTGGAGTCTGGCACAAGCTCTGCTTTAGTCAAGGCACTGAAAAGCAGAAGTTGCCCATCAGCTGCTCATTGCCTGTGCCTGTGCCCCTCCTGTGCCCTCCTCCTCCCTTTCCTAGGCACACAGGGCTCTAGGGGCAACACCAGGAGCAAGGAGAACCCGTGGACAATGTCTTCTCCCCAGGTTTGTTGGGTGAGTGGATGGGTGGGTGATGCCCATGCCCAGGGTGGTCCCTGGGATGGCTATGGGAGATGACATGGCTTCCACAGTCACAGACAAACCTCCCACCCCTGCCTGGCTACATGAGGAGAGAGCTCAGGGCATTTACCCCACTGCCCAAGGGCACTGAGCCAGCTGACCTCCCCAAACCAGCATAAGAGCAAGGTCAGGGTGAGCTTTCCCCACAGACCCCCACCACAGCACTGGGAGAGGCTCTCCAAAGGGTCCAGCTCCTGCTGCCCACAGCCTGTGACATCACCATGGAGGGCTCTGCCCACCAGCCCCCCAAACAACTGCTGCAAGCCCCCTGTCCCTGCCGTGCCCCAGCTGAGCCGCAGCAGGGGGACAGTTCCCCAGTGACCTTACTTCTCACACTTGGCGTGGGCCGAATGCTCCTGAAGTGCTTGTTTTTCCTCCGCAGGGCCATCTTGTACTGCAGGGAGACAGGGATGGTGGCGGCTTCGGCGTGGACAAGCTGGCTGTGCTGAGTGGCATCCTGTGGCAGCTGGAGCCAGCCAGGCTTTGCCAGGTGACGGGTGCAATCCCCCCATCACCCCCAGACCCGCAGCACTGCACCCCCTGATCCTGTCCCAGCTCCAAAATCCCCCATGACGCTGGATTGAATACTTCCCCATCCAGGACCCTGCAGCACGCTGGATCCCAGAGCAACAACAGCAGGAGAGGGTGCAAACAGCCAGGACCAGCTGGGCCACCACAAGGACAAATTCCCGGTGCCAGCAGCATGGCCTGGCAGGCTAATGGTCCCATTTCCCAGCACTAATTGCCTTAGCACTGCCCTGGGGGGGTGCCGGGGGGTGCCTGAACCCGGAGAGGCTCCGGTGCTAAGCCCGGCATCATCCGGTAAGGCGGATAAAAGGTGGTTATAGCGCGGGCATCACGCGGCAGCGCTGGGTTTGGACCCTACCTCCTCTGCGGCGAGGTCCAGAGGATTCTTGCCCCTCGCCAGCGCGGTGGCATCGTCCTCAGCCGACTCCGGCAGCAGCACCAGGAGGTCGAGCCCCTGCTTGGAGAGGCTCTCTGCCTAAAACCATTAGGAAGCGCTTAAATTATCCCGGGGGCTGAAGCGCGCCCGGCTGCCCTGTGTGCTCCGTGCTGCTCCGCTCCCTACCCACGGCTGGGATTTGTGAGCGGATTTAGGCCTGATTAGCCGGCTGCCAGCCCCAGCACAGCTGCCCCGCGCCTGCCCCAGTGCACGAGTGGCCAGCGCCCGGCTTCACCCCAGCACCCCCCACCACACCACACGGCAGCAGCTCCAGGACTTTGCTCAGGGTGTTAATGTTGCTGTGACCACACCAGGAGAGGATTACCTGGCGGGAAAACCAGCCTGGGTGGAAATTGTCCTGCTTCTCAGACTGCAAATCTGTGGTGACAGTGTTGGCTGGTGCCCGGGCAATGCTGGGGTACCCCTATCCCACATCCCAGCACCACATCCCTATCCCGCAGGTGCTGGTGCCCCTGGCACTCACCAGTTTGCACTGGGCGATGGTCAGGTCTCCCAGCACAGCATCCACGATGCAGTCGGCCGCAGCGGCTGTGATGGACAGCTTGATTTCACTGGGAGCAGAAAGAGTGGTGTCAGGGCCAGCACCCACCCCCTGCAAGCCATGGAGCCAGCCCCACCCAGGGAAAGCCTGCTGAGGAGATGGATGCTTGGCTGTGGCACCCAGGATATGCCCTGTGCTGTGGCTCACTGGGTTTGTGCTGCCAGAGCAAGAATGGCAACAGGGGCTGGCTGGGATGGAGGATGCCAAGTGCATTCCCACACTGATGGTTTGGGCTCCCCTCTGCCAGCCACAGGGGTGTGCCTGCAGGCACATCATCCCATGGAGCCCCCCAGCTTCCCAGGGACACATCCAAACTAGACCCAAGCAGGAAGCAAAGCCACGGCTGGGAAAACACAGCAACAGGACCCAGCACATCACCACCAGAATGTAGGGAGAGGGGAAGTTGGTAGGCAACCCCCAAAATCCTCCTCTGGCCCCGTGAGTGAGTGACAGTTGTTGAGCCAGGAGGAAGAACGGCACATCACCCACTTCAGCTTGCTGAAGACATCAGTGACCATCTGGTCCAGGACGGCACTGAGGCTGAGGTGGTCCTGGAGGCAGATCCGCTCCGACATGGCATTGACCAGCTGATCCCTGACCCCGCTCTTCTGCACCACGTCTGGGCACAGGCTGTGCGCCGTGTCCAGCACCGCCTGCATGATCGCCTGCAGTGTGGGGGACAAAGGCGAGTTTTGGTGCCTTTCTGTCTCCATTCACGTGGTTTCCAGGAGGCACCATCTCCCTTATCCTTGGGCCAAGGCTGATGAATATCCCATGCTGCCCATGGATGCCCACCTGGATTTCCCAGCTGCAGGTCTGCGATGCTTCCTCCGTGAGACACTCCAGCTTGTGCTGCAGCTTGCCATTCTGGTATGGGGTGTTTCCTGCCTCATACAGGAGGGGTAGGATCTGCCATGGGAAGAGAGATGGTATGGATCATCCCACGCCACTTCATCTTCGCTTCCCATCCTTCCATGCTCAGCCAGCAGCTGTGACTGTGCCATGGAAGAGCATCACCTGCATCATCTGGGCAGACCTAGAGACTTGGTTTTGCTGGGCCAGGGTGGGGCATCCTAGTCCCTCAGAGTCCCTGTCCCCTCCAGATGGACCCTCAACTGCTGCCCACCCCCCACTGACCCTCCCTCCCCTCCTGCACACCACTGCACTGCTGCCTGCATCAGCAGAGATGGTGTCCCATCCCTTTCACCCCCTTTCCAACAACAGCACTGTCCTCTTAAATTCTATGCCCACCAGATTAAGTACCTAAGGGGGTGCTGAGAGAGTTGGGAAAAAGGGAAAAGAGATGGTTTGAAGAGAAGTAGAGGAGGAGGAAAAGGTGCAATGGGGAGAGAGAAACAGGACCAAGAGAATCAAACCAGATCTGACAGTGCCAGGAGCTGCCCAGCCAGCGTGGTGGATTTCATCGTGGGCTGATGGAGCACTCTCATCACTAGGGTGGGATGAGGGTGTCCCAGGAAAGACAACCCCTCAGGGATGCAGGGAGGTTTCTCACCAGTGTGGGCATCTCTGGGTTGCAGGGCGTGCCCAAAGCTGGAGCAGTCACCTCTCCAAAGGAGGGGTGTGCGAGCATGGGATGCAAAAGAGAGGGTGCACTTGTAACCTCTGCTTCCCCTGGGGGGTGCACACAACTGTGTGCCTTTGGGGCGAGGGGACTGAGAGCATTTTGACCCTTGCTCTAGAAGGGAATTCAGAAATCCTCAGCTGTTTCCTAACGTCTGCAGATGCTCGGTGACGTGCATCTGTTGCATCGACATTCTGGCGTTCCCTGACTGCTGGTTAATGGTGTCATTAACTGATCAATGCCCCGCTTCGATCCCGAGCTGGTGCCGGGTGAGCCGAGGGGGTTTCCCGCGCGGGGCACTCACGCTGACGGAGAGGTTGGCGTTCCTGATGGCCTCCTCCGCACACAGGACGTCCGCCTGCACCTCCCTGCCCGGGCAGGTGCTGAGGATGTCGACGTGCTTCTGCACGCTCAGGCAGATCTCATTCACCATCTGGAGCACAGAGAGGCTGCGTCATGTGCCGGCGCCAGAGCAGCACTGCCAGTTCCCTTCCCTGCCGTGGTGCTCCCGGAGAAAAGGCTGCTCGGTGGGGGCACTGGCAGGCTACAGCCCCCCGGAGCAACCCTGCCTAATAACCAGGGGTGCCACATGGCAGGGACTCGCTTGCAAGAGTGCACAGATTGCTGGGAACACGCTGTATGGGGTAGTGTAGCAGCAAGTTATCTCAGCATTGCATATGCATGAAATGCATGGATGAAACCAGGAGGGTTCCTTGGAGATCTGCTTTCTGCCCAGCCCCATTCCCATCATAGAACTGTGGAATGATTTGGGTTGGAAGGGATCTTAAAGGCCATTTAGTTCCAACCCCCCTGCCATGGGCAGGTACACCTTCCACTAGGCCAGGTTGCTCCAAGCCCCATCCAGCCTGGCCTTAAACACTTCCAGGGATGGGGCATCTCCCACCCCTCTGGGCAACCTGTTCCATCCCTCCAATCTGCTCTGCTCTCCACTCAGGAAAGGTGAAAAGGGGGTTGTGCTGCTTGCAAGAGCTCAAACTAGCAAGCCAGGGTCATTTGGGGCAGGGGAGAGCAGCCCCATGCAGCAACTGGGCCATCAAACCTGTTCAGAAGAGGTGGTGAGGATGCCCTGCTGCAGCCGGAAGGTCTGGGCCGGCAGCGTCTGCCGCAGCTGGTTCCTGGTCAGGCAGGACTGGAGCTGCAGAGGCAAGGGGCCATGAGCAGTGTGGGTGGCACCCAGCCCTGCACCCCTCAGCCCACATCCCCTCACCTTGTGCACGGCCTGCTCCGTCCTCTCGGGGTTGCTGCGATACGCCTGCACCACGTCGCTCATCGGCAGCGGCATCGACTTGAGGGTGTAGTTCCTGTGAGGCAGCGTGGAGAGAGCAGGTGCTGCTGGACCCAGCGCTCATCCCCACCCTTCATGTCCCCACAGACATGACACAGGTCCAGAGCCCACCCAATGGCAGCCTGGACATTGTCCCAGGGTCCAGCCCTGGAGATAGGGATGGCCAAACTCTGGCCGTCAGCAAACCCTGACGGGGAGGCAGCGACCGCCTGCCCAGGCTCTCCATGCACCCCTCTTTCTTCAGACCTCCAGGGAACCTGCACAGCCAAGCACCAGACCCGAAGGTGGGTGTGCTCAGCAGGTGTCCTCAGCAGGAGGAGAGGGGCATCACATCAGCACCACCAGCAGATCCCCCTGCCCTCGCTGGGGGCTCCGTGGGTGACACGAGGCTGTGCTGGTTGCTCAGGGAGACCCTGAGGTTGAAGGTGCCATCACGAAACAGTGGCAGGTTGGTTTGCTGGCTGCAAGGCCAGAGCTGTGGACCAACTCCCTCAGGAGGTGTATGCAACTGTGTGATTACAGCTCCAAGGGGACAAGAGGCCCTGGGGACAGTGATATCCTGGTGACAGGGGCTCTTTTGCACGGCAGTAGCAAGCCAGGAGGACCAAGAAGCTCCTTCCTTACCTCTCCAAAGCTTGAGCCACCTCCAGGAGCCCGTGGGCAGTTGTGTTGTTCCTGTCCCAAACCACAGTCCTGCACAGAGAAGGACATGGGTGAGCCCTGCTGCACCCACACAGCCTTGAGGGGGGTGCCAGCAACAGCGAGCCCAAGGATCAGAAAACCTGAAAGTGGGGTTAAAAATCTGAACTTAAACTTTCAAAATCCAAAGTGGGACTTTGCAAGGAGCTGTAAATTAGGCAGGAGGGAGTGAAAGGCTGGGAGGACACAGTCAGGTGCCATCCTGCTGGCAGGGGCAGATATCCCCCAGAGGAACAGCTCTGGCCATGACACCCTTCCCTGTCCCCTGCAGACACCCCTGCCTTGGTTTTGTGGGCACAATGTGGTCAAAAAATGGCATTTTAGGAACCGATAGCAGAGTGTGTGGGAGGGCAGTGACTGCAAAGGTCTGTCTGCAGCACAATGGGCTGTGCAGTAGCCTGGTAAAGAGCTGGCAAGCGCTGGGGCAGGGACTGAGCTGCTCTCTTGGCCCTCACATGTTCCCTGCCAGCAGTTCTAGTGGCTGCCACAAGCACAACATATGGCCACAGCATCTGACAGTGTGCCAGGAATTGTCCAGGACCACATCCATGGTCACCAGGAACCATGACAAGCCTCCTCTGATGGTACCAGCATCCTGCCCAGGACTGCCTGGCACAGGGCACCCACAGGGTGACATAGACCTGCTGCTACCTGAGCTTGGTGTTGATCTGCAGGGCCTTGGCGAGCATCTTGGCCCCCGTGTCCCCCATGGCATTGCCACTGATGTCCAGAGCTGTGAGGCTGGTGTTGCTGCCCAGGGCGCTCAGCAGCACGTTGGTTCCCAGTTTGAGGCGTGATTCAGCCACGGACAGAGACTGGAGAGGCTAGAAAGGGGACAAGGAGGGGAGAGGTGGCCAGGGCACGTGTCAGGGCACACGTCACCCTCGCGGACACAGCCTCCATCCCTGTCCAGAAGCCTCGGGGCTGGGGCTGCTTTTGGAGACACCAAGTGATGCTGCACCCCAAGAAACAGGAGGGCAATGGGTGCTTAGGCAACAGCCTGGATTTAGCTCAGATGCCTGCCAGGCAGTGGGGAGAAAAGAGGGATTTTTTTTGGAATGCTGGGCTGCATCCAGGTTACACCAAGTGTCTCCTCCATGCCTTTAGCCAGACTCAGGCTCCAGCTTTCCCAGATGAACAGGAACAGCTCCCACTTCTCTGTCTGAGCATCTGCTTCAGACCGAGGAAAATAAAAGCAGAAAGGTTTGAATGGCAGTGGGAGGGAGGAAGGTTTGCTCCCAGCCTGTGCCAGGAGGGATCTGGATGGCACCCTGGCATGGAGGCTGCACAGTGGTGGCAGAGGGTGACCAGGAGCACAGATGGGATGGTTGGGGTGGCTGAAGGCAAGCTGGACTTACACAGTCCTCCTCCTGGGTGAGTTGGACGATGCGGTGCAGGACATCCAACAGTCCTTCCCTGCAGGAGAGGCAGGGGGGGTTACATGTGCATCCCCAGGGCCACAGAGGCAGCTGGCAGAGCTCCATCCTCCCTCCCACTCTTGCCTGACACTACAATCCATCCCTGGGACTGCACCAGTTGCTGGCAATTGTCCCCCCACAGCCCCTGGCTCCATGTTGGGCTGGAGCAGCCAGGATGGGCAGGCAATTCCTACCAGCCCCTGGGCTTTCGATGGGGAGACAGAGTGGAGGGGGTGCACGGTGCCAGGATGGCTCCCAGCCTGGGTGCTGCAGCTTTGCACCTACTTGGATTTGATGTTGAAGTTCTTCCCCAGAGAGACGTGCCTAACGGACTTGCTTCTGCCAATGGAGAGCACCAGTGTCACCATGTCAGGGTCAAAGCCTGCAAGAGATGGGAGACGCCCACCAGGATGCTCCAAGCAGTCCACAGAGGTGCCATCAAGGTGGTCCCTCACAGGAGATCTGCAGAGCCACCAGGCTTCCACCACGGGATGGTGGAGAGATGCTCAGGGAGCTCCTGAGCACCTTTCTCCCTTCCTGGCTCCCTCAAGGAGACTGAAGATCTGTGCACAGTCAGAGTCCCTGAGGAGTGAGGATCCCCAGGGAAGGAGCACCCTCTCTGGGCACTCCTGCTATTTGGGGTGCCAGTGTTGTTCTAAGCCATGGGAACACTCATGGAGCTGTAGGTGGCACTTACTTTCTGCCATTGCCCAGAGATGTGCCCTCCATCACCCACCCACCACCCTGGGCAGCATGGGGGGACTTCTCACACCTTTCAGGCAGCTGCCTGCACTCCCATCCTCATAGATGCACCATCCCCAGGGAAATCTGGTGAGACCCAGGAGATGGAGGAGATCTTCTCCCAGGCTGGGAAAAAGCAACCTACCATTGTCAGACAAGTCCAGGCTGCTGACGGAGCTGGCATCAGGGATGAGATCCTGGATGACCTGGGCCCCTGCTGATCTCAGCTTGGAAGAAACAGCAAGACATCAGTACAAGGGGAGGCACCAAGCCCTCCAAATGGGATCCTGCCATGGGGAAGGTCAGACAGGGCACAGACCTCCCCTGACTGCTGCAATGGGACCCTCTGGCTGGGCTGCTGGCCCCTCACCTCACAGCTGCTAAGATCCAGGTGCAGGTCACTGATGTGGCTGTTGTCTGCCAGCCCTTGCAGCAACGCCCTGGAAAAGTCACCAAAGTCCCCATGGGTGCAAGAAATGGGGGCAGCAGCACATGCTGTGGGGCACCCCCAAGGGTCCAGGCAGTGGGAGTGGGGTGCTGGAGAAAACATCCTTCCCAGAGCTCTGCCTCCCACAGCCTCATCCACCCATCCTCCCCAACAGCCCTCAGTGAGGTCCCCCCTGGATTATGCTCATCCCAAATCCCTGGGTGGATTCACAGCCCAACCTCACCTCACGACGTCTGCAGGCAGCTTGGTACCTGCCAGGGAGACGTGCCTGAGGGCACAGGCCTGGCTGAAAAACTCCTTGACGTCAGGGGAGATGGTTTTCACCCTCCTGAAAAGGATGGGCACAACGTGGCATCATCTGTCACCCAGCACCAGCCACCTGCCCGGGTACCACTCTCCCCTCACGCCATCCCAGGGCCTTACCTGTGGGAGTACACGTTTTTGGAGAGATCCAGGTGGATGAGGCTGTTGTGGCACCCGTGGACCAGGGCTCCAAAGAGCTGCCAGGGTGGGGAGGCAGGTTGTGTGGAGGAGGACCCAGAGGTGCTGCAGCCCCTCACACGGCCCAGGGGTGGAGGGGGACTGAGGGCAGGGTCTCACTGCCAGGAACCCCTCGGTGGGTACTCACAGCATCCAAAGGGCAGTCCGTGCCAGCCAGGCTGAGGTGGGACAGAGAGTGGCACTGGCGGAGGAGGCTCTGCAGGCTCTGTGGGCAGAGGGGGCTCAGCAGCTCTGCCCAGGACCCTGAACCCCCCCACTCAGCAGCCCTGAAATCCCAGCTCCAGCCTATCTCCTCCCTCCTGCTGAGCCCAAGGGTGAGTCCTGCACAGAGGGACCCGCTCACTCATGGGATACATCCTTGCTCCAGGTGGCATCTCCCACCTTCCCACAGGGAGATGCAGAGGGATGTCCCCAGGGCTTCCCCAGCTGCTCCTGGGCAGTCAGGGGGCTGTCTCAGCCGTGACATTCCCATCCCTGGGGTGCTGGAAGGCTGGGCACAGACCCCAGGATACCAAAGCCATCCAAACCATGCTGGGGACAGATCCCAGGCAGTGTCACCCCATCACATCATGGGTACTCACACTGATGTCATCCCCAGCCAGGGTGCCGGGGTTTCCAGACAGGTCCAGGTGCCGGAGGGAGAATCCAATGGCTTTGTTATCTGCAAGGGCCTTGCACAGTGTGCTCATCCCTGCTCGAATAGAGGGGGAGAGATGGATGGCCACAGGTTCCCTGCACTGGGGAGAGCCGTGGAGCAGAGGAAGGGGCATTACCCTCCAGCTGGGGCAGCAGGACATCACATCCATGAAGATGCCCTTTCCAGGGTGTCCATGTGGCCCCTCCAGCCACCCCTTTTTTGCTGGGTTGGCCTGAGAGCTGCCGTGCTCAGCCTCCCAAGGGCACCTGGGCTGTACCTTTGGCTGTGAGCATTGTCCTGGCCAAGCTGAGACTCTGCAGACCCTTGGAACTCTTCTCCAGGTGCCGGCTGAAGGCAGCAATTCCTGATGAAAGAGCAGAGAGCCCTGAATCGCTGTGCCAGCACAGAAGGGTGTCCATCTCACCCTGAGCTACAGCCCCCAGGACAAGGGGCAGCTGCTGGTGGGATCCGGAGCTGAACATCAGTTTTCATGGGTGAAAACTCATCCCAGCCCAGAATTTGGGTACCTCTGTCTTCCAGCTGGTTGCCAGAAAGGTTGATGGTGTGCAGGACAGAGTCGGGATGGTTGCTGAGTGCCTGGGCCATCCTCTGCACAAAGTCACTGTGGGGAGAAGGGTCACCCATCTGAGCGAGGTTTGGACACTTCCAAGAGACACAGCCACCAACCCCATAGCCTTATGGGGACAAGCCACCAGGTCCTGCCTGTGTGGCAGGGCTGGCTCCATCTGAGAAGCCAAGAACATCTCCGAGGGCGGGTGGAGTTCACTGGCCTTCCAGGCTGTGGGGGCCTCTGCTCCCAGTGTGCTTCACACTGTGGAGGGCAGGGAGCCACCAACACCCCCCTGGCACATGGTTCCACGGACCCCCCTGCTCCGTGCCTTGAGGGAAGCACCACCAGGCTGCCAAGACCCTGCTCATCACTGCCTTGCAGCCCCTTCACTTACGCTTTCAACCCGCTGTTTTCCAGCACCAGCTCCTCCAGCGTCACCGATTTGCTGAGCATGTAGAGCAGCTGCTCTGAAATCTCCTGATTCTGGCAGGGGAGAAGAAAACCTCTCTGGAAACCTGGCCACCTCTGCTGGTCCCAGCACCGCAGCACCAGCACTCACCAGCCTGAAGTCCTTGCAGGAGAGCTTGGTGAACCACAGGTTGAAGGACAAGGCAGCGACACTCAGCGCCACATCTCTGCAGGGTGACAGGGATGAGGGAGTCAGGGCCGGGATGAGACAAGGGTGGTCCCAAATGGGTGCCCCAAAGCACCCAACCATGAGGTTCCCCAGGACACCCAACCCTGGGATGCCCCAAGACACCCAAACTCAAGGTGCCCCAACACAGCGTTCAACAGAGCAGGATTGGTCCATGAGTTTAAAGCAACCCACAAACACAGCTTATCTTTCCCAGATTATTCCCCTGGGCAAAATAAAATTACTCAAACTATTTGCATGCTTCTATCTAAACCCCTGGGTTTCAAATTCTTTTTAGTTCTGGGCTCTCATGTGAAGACACCACAGGTTTTGCTCAAGTGGAAACAAGTTTCTTTTTTACTTCCCCATCCAGAGAAATCTCTAAAAATGTCTCCTTTTTGGCCAGCTGAACATAGATCCTCTGTTCCCCAAAACACTCAGCCCAGAACTCTGATTTGCTGCAGCCTCACCCCAGAGCAGAGCCCTTGTTCCATCTTTCTTGGGATGGAGACACGGCTGAGCCCTACAGGGACAACTCCAGGCACAGCCTGAGCTCACAGCCCACTATCAGGTTATTATAAGGTGACAATAAGGTGACAGTAAGGTTATAACAGAAGTTTGGGGTGGCTGGTAGGGAGCAGTGCCAAGTTTCGGGGAGGCAAGTGGCACCAGTTGCTTTGCATAGGGAAACACCTGACAGCCACGAGCTGCCAGAAGCCACTGTGACGTTGGGTTTCCACCCCTGTAAGCAGCTCACACAGGCTGATTTAAGAGTTAAAAATGAACAGAGAGGCTGCCTGGGCTCTGGGTTGTTGCCCCGTGGGACAGGGCTTGTGGTGTTTGGTGTGGGGGAGCATCAGGCTGCAGATGTGGTGTCTCTGGAGGGTGTAAAGTGACAAATACATCTAACACGAGCAGAGGAGCGTGTTGGGGCACCCCTGACAGCGTCAGGGAGGATGAGGATGAGGGCTGGTGTGGCACAGGGCACCACAGGCAGCACAGTTGGGGGACTCACCGGCTCTCCAGGTGGCTAAAGTCCAGCAGGTTGAACTCCCGGCAGTCCTGGCTGTGGTAAATGTTGTCCACGTCCTTCCCAGAAAGACGGACACATGGATGAGGCTCAGCACCTGATCCTGGGGATGGCTCAGGTGCCCAGCGCTGCTGGAGGGAGCTGAGCCCTTGGGAACCCTCTTCTGGGGAGCCCCTTGCCTATACTCCAAGCCCAGAACCTCCCCTGGTGCTCTGGGTGGCAGGGAACATGTCCCAGCTTGGCAGGACAGATTGGTGTGTCTTGGAGCAACTTTGCAGGGATTGTCCAGAAGAAGGAATGTACCCCGGGCTGGTGGGAGTGAGGGTGTGGGAAGAGGTGGGAGGAGATCAGTGTTCCAGAGGGAGAGGGGTCCTGTTATAGCTGGCTCCCAGCAGGGAGCTCCTCTACTACAGACATTCAGCAAAGTCCCAGATTTTCAGGGATTCTCTTTAGATCACAGTCTGGGAAAGAACCTGGTCCAAGGCATCTGACCCCCACCTGCACTTTGATTCCAGCCCACCAAGGAGCAGGGGGCACTGAAGCCAGGCAAAGCTGCAGTTCCCATCTCAGATACCCCTGGGATGTCTCTGGTCCCTGGGATGTCCCAGCCCCACACCCAAGCCAGGCAAAGCTGTGGTTCCCAGCTCTGGCACGTCCCAGCCCCAGCAGCCCCACGAGGCTGCTGTCTGGAATGGAGGCACCCACAAACATCCTGCTTCCCTGCCCACCAGGTGACACTGCCACTGCCTCCAGCCCCGGGATGGACCAGCTCACCCACTGGATCTCCTCGCGGAAGGCAAAGCCGTTGTAGTCACACAGGGCAGCGTAGGTCTCCGAAAACCCCCCTGCAAAGAGAAGGCAGTCTTGGGGGCAGGCCTTCCCATGGGAACATGGAGGAGACCTTTGGGGAGGGCAGGAAACAAGAGAGGGATGGCAGGGACTCAGAAGGATGGTGAGGGCTCCCCCCTCCCTCCTCAAAGGGGTCAGAGATCTCCTGTCAGCCCAAAAGCGATCGCCCAGCTCGGGGGGCTGTGGCTTGCTTTGCTTGATCCATGAGGATACCAGGCAAGGCACATTGCTATGGTGATAACAGAGGTATCCTGCTCCAAACCAGGCTACAGGAAAAGCTCTGCAGCTATGCTGTGTGAAGTGAGAGGAAGCATCCACAGCTGCAGGTCCTCACAGGTGGATACTGAGCATCCTTTCTTCACAGCTGTCCTGCTGCTTCTGGGGGAACTACATCCCATCAAACCTGCTCTTGCCCCAGGGGACAGGGTGGGCTGGTGGAGAGTAGACCCCACTAGCAGGGCTCCATCTGTCTGAAGGCACCATGGTGCCCTGCCAGCAGAGGTGGGGGCTGTCAGCAGAGCTGGTGTTGGTGGATGCAGGGCTGGGATGGTCCCCAGGCTGCTCCAACCCTCCTGGTCCTGCCTGGAGGAGGTTACAGCAGGACTTACCACAGGGCCCAGGGCTGCTCTGCAGCATTTCCTCCAGCGAGTCCAGGATCTGCTGGATCCTCTCATACAGGCTGGGGGGGGAGTTCTTGAGCAGTGTCCTGGGGAAGGATCAGAGGGATGTGTGGTGGTGGGCCAGGAGAAGAGGGTCTCCACCACTTTATGCTTAGCTGTAACCTTGTGCATAGGGTGGCCAGAAATATTCGGCCAGGAAGCAGGGTCTGGCCTTTTTCCATGTTGCTCCTGCTAAAACACACTATTGTGCACCCATCCCATGTTTGGGACCTTCTAGTTGCAGGTGTCCCTGCCCATGGCAGCAGGGTTGGAACGAGATGATCTTCCAACCCCGAGCATACCAGAATTCTATGATCTGGGACTTTTCTGAGCCACCCCTGAGGAGCAGAAGACCCTTACCCAAGGGATGAGTCTGGAAAGACCTTCTTAAGTGACATGGTGACATGGATAACAACTTGCTCCAAATCATCCAAGGACATGAACCGGAAGGCGTAAGATGCTGCATCTGTTTCTATGACAACCTGCGGGGTCCAAAGGATGAGAGATGCCTGAGCAAGCTGGCAGCACAGAGTGTCCCCAAGCCCCCAGACATGATGGTGACAGCCATCAGCTCCTCGGTGCCAACCCAGCCAGAGCACCATGAGCACAGGGAAGGCCGTGAGCACCAGGAATTCAGGATAAAATACATTCAACAGACTGTAACGTGCAAGAATAAGGCATAAACCTCGCCAGAATTCACGCTAAGCTGATGCAGAGGCAGCCCAAGGCAGTGGGGTGAGAACAGCCTTGCCTCTGCCTGCAGCAGCCGCAGCTGAAGGATGGAGGTTTCCTCCCTGAATTTATCTAATCGGGTTTTGAGGCTTTTTTAGCTTTTGGTTCCTACCAGGAAAAAGAAAAAAATCCCATGGCAACACTCTCCCTGATTTAATTACACGCTGATTGAGGCGTGGGAGCAAGATGACAATTATCCACCGGCATCGGGCGAGGACGGCGCTTCCGCCGGTGCCCGGGGCTGTGGAGGCAGGAGAGCGTGGGTCTGCCTGCACATTAACAACCTCTGGGCTCTCCATAACACAGTCAGATGTCTCACCCCCCTCCACCCTGAGGTTTCAACCCCCAGCACCCCTCAGTCTCTGCCCAGGTCCTTTAGTTCTCTCCTGGGGCTCAGCCTCACAGCCTCCCGAGCTGCAGAAACCCTGTTTAGAGGCTGAGCCCACTGTCACTGGTGATGCTTTAACAAGCAGAAGCCAGGCAGGAGGTTAAAAAGGACCAGACAGGAGGTTAACAAGGACCACAGCCCTGTCTCAGCCAAAACATCCAAGCCAAGGCATCCCATTCCTCTCTTCCATGGTTCCCACTGCTGCATCTGCCCTATGTGCCTGTCTCTCTCTAAGAGGATTAACTGGGTTTAAAACACCGTCCTGCTAAATTTGTCTTCACCTTGGTAAGTCAGCAGCCATTTGTCACCTTGTCCCTGCTGAGCATGGCCAGGTGCTGTCTGCAGCTGCTGGAGGGGAAGAGGTGCAGGCACCTACCCAGCACCCCTGGGTGCCTCCCTGCACCTCCAGCCCAAGGGTGAGTCCCCCAGTGAGGCCATAAGAGGATTTATTTTCAGGTGGAAAAGAGATAAATAACCTGTGGAGCTCTCAGGGATCATCACTGGTTACCCTCAACACGCAACGAGGAACCAGAAGGCCCCCAGACCCTGTGGTGGGCTCGAGATCAGAGTTTCCCATGGGGGAAGGAGGGTACAAGTTTGGGGGAGTGCCTGGGCTGGTTTTGCCCTGGGTGTTGGGGCCACTCACCACACTGGGCTCTTGGACTGTCATCTCCCTCACCTCCAGGAAGCTGAAGCTGCTGTGAACCTGTGGGTGAGAAGAGCAGGATCAGCCCCAGCGCTGATGGAGAAGGGGGACCCAAGGGTGCCCCCCAGCTCCCACCCTTCCCCACGCCTCAAATAGTGCCTGACCATGCCCCCAGCCCCTGAACCAGCCCCCTCCCCTTCACCCTCTGCTCATCCTGCTCCTGAGGGTTTCCCAGGCCCAGCAGCCCAGGTGACCCACCCCAGTGCCCCAAGGCCCCCCAGGCACCTCAGGGCTGTACCAGGCACAGGGTCCCCACACTCACCCTCACCGGCAGCATCACCGGCAGCACATACGCTCGCCAGGGCGTCAGCACCTAGGCAGGGGGACACTGGTGTGACAAGGGACAGTGGTGACCCGGGAGCCACCCCTGTCCCTCGCTGCAGCCATGAAACAGCTGCCTGTGGAAACCAGGAAAGCAGGAACCAGTCCAGACTCTGCACGTACCAAGATGAAGTCGTCATACTTGGACTTCACCTGCAGCTGGACACTCAGCACCAGGAGCACCTTCTTCGTCCCCAGGAAGGTGGTGATGCCCTCTGAAAAGACCAACATCCACGTGAAATGAGGTGGCTGAAGTCACCTTGGTTCTCTTCCACACGCCCTGCTGCCCCTGGGGACACTGTCCCTGCATACCCACCCGAATATACTCCTCTCCATCCACGCCAGAAAGTCACACTGGTTGCTCTCATCTAAACCACACACTTCACCAGCTGTGGGTCTCATTTGCTACTCGAATGATGCACCCACTTGCCCATCACCTGCCACAGCCTTGGCTGAGCACAGGGCTTTGGGGTCATTGGTTCACCCTGCCCGTGCTGCCTCGCTCACTGGGAGCTGGCACTGAGGGACAAGAGGGCCCTGATTCCTCTCATTTCCTTCCCAGATTTACCACTGGGGAGCAAATGGGCACCCAATTCCTTCCTCCCCATGGAGCAGCCAGGGTAGTCACATGTACCAACCTCCCCATGTCCACAGACCAGTCTCTCCCATGGTCACTGGACCAGTGTGGGCATTGCTCCTGCCTTGAGTGTCCCCTCCCCACCTGTCCTGATTCCTGCCTCCCATGGGGAGAAACAGGACCAGAACCACAGTTACCCATTGCCATGTGAAGCAAACCAAGCTTCCACAACACCACCAAGCCCTGTGGTGCAGTGGCTGAGCCCCCACAGCCCCACACCCTGGTAGAGCTGGGACCTGAGGCTGCAGGGACGCTGTGACCCAGCTCCTTCCCACCCCACTTCAAGCCTCAGTGGGACTGATGAGGCTGAAGGACCCCAAGATCTCTGTTGTCTTTTGCTTTTCAATCGGATGAGAGAAGTCTGGGAGCAGTGGCACTTCACACACCCCCTGTGCTGGGCTGCAGGCTGTGCCTCCCTGGGGAGCTGCCAGGGACCCCTAACTGGCTGGGAGAATCCAAGCCCATGGGAGTGAGCAGCACCAAGCTGTACCTACAAACTAGGCAGCCTGAGCCATGCAGAACCCCATCCTTGAGGAGACAGGTTATCTGGGGATGCTTTTGGTCCAAACTGAATCCTCAGGCATATGAGTTTTGGGGACAAGAGCAGCCCCCAGACACCTCTTGGACCCCCCTGAATCTCAGCTGCTGCTGCTGAGGAACCTGAAAGTGGCTCTGCCAACCCCAGCACGGCAAACTGGGGCTGAGCAGGCCCCGTACGGGCGCCTTCCATGTGGCAGCGATGCCCCGGCAGCGCGGCGGCGGGCGATGCTTACCTTGCAGCTCAGCAGGGATGCCTCCGGGGGACGCAGCCATGGTCGGGACCGCGGGGTCACCTGCCGGGGGATGCCGGTGTCAGGGCAGCATCCTTGGGCGCCGCGGGAAAGGCGCCCCGCTGGGAGGAAGCGCTGAGGTTACCAACCGGCAGCGCCGCAGCCTCGGTGCCTCCTCCCCCTCCCGGTGCCTCTTCCTGCCCCGTCAGGCGAGATTTACCGCCTGAGCAAGAGAAGCGAAATGAAAGCGACGGTGCCCACGGCCCACCGGCCCCGCCGGGAGGAGGGGGCGTCACTACCCAGCGCCCTTCTCCCCCTGCATGGCATCCCCGGCCAGAGCCTCCCAGCCCGAAGCAGGAGCATCTCTCCCATAGTTCCAGCCTTCCAGGGGTTGAGGATCCATGGCCTGTCCCCATCCCACAGCCCCCTGAGGTGCTTCATGGGGACATATTTCTGCCTGAAGATCGCTGGTGAGTGGGGAGAGGGCAGCTCTACCCTTCACAGCACTGGGTGGTCAGCCCAGCCCCATCACCTTGCATTGGGAATCTGCAAGGGGAGTTAATGGAGATGGGTGCTGGTGCCCACGGCTGAAGGCAGGGCTTTTCCAGAGCAGAAACACCCCAGGCACCCTGCCAAAGTGACTAAATTGCTGTCCCAGAGCAAGGACAAGAAGCAGAAGCCAGGTGACGTCCTTGGAGCAACAGGACTCAGTGCATCAACCACTCCACTCTCCCAGGAAGGCTCTGGACCAGGCAAAAAGCCAAAAGCACTCCAGGACAGAGCAGAAAGCTGTCCTGTGCTGTGCTGCAGGACTTCCCCAGACTCAGTATTTCCTGCTGTTGGTGCAGCTTGGCCCCACCAGAGACTCAGGACAAGGTTCTGAGGGAGCAGGCTGAGCTGCTCTCAGCTGGCAGCCCTGTGACCAGCATCCACAGGGATGGAGGGTGCCAGCTGCCTTCTCCCCCTAAATTGCCCCTTTTGACAAATGTCCAAGCTCCAGGCTGCACTCTGCCAACCAGGGACTCACTGAGTTTTCCCAGGGGTGGAATAACTCAGGAGAAGGTGGTCCCTGGAAGGGTTGGGTGACGTTGCCCTCCTGCCACGTGCACCTGGGGCCACAGCACTTCTGAAACCACCTTCTGTGAGAAGGCAGGAAGTCATCTCCCTGCAGGGACGGCGTCTTCACAGAGCCCAACCACAACACAAGCTCTTCTCAAGGACGTGGCTGGGGAGAATGTGGCTCAGGGCAAGGACCAACCTCTGCCAGCCGAGGCACCTCCTCAAGCCTCCCGAGCTATGTCAACAGATGGATGAGCATCAGGAAGGGCAAAGGCTGTTCACCACCCAGTGGAGACAGCAGCCACCAGGAACAGTCCTGTCTGGTTCCATGTTTTTTCCAGGATGGGAGGAGGCCAAGCTACTGGTATCTGAACTTCTCAGAAAGGGCACCACATCCCAGTTTTGTTGTGCAAGGATATTAAGGACACAGAGAGTTGTCCCATTGCACCCACCAGAATGGCCTCTATCAAAGCTTAGAAGCACAAAGGAGCTCCTGGCAAGTTGCATTCCAAGCTAATTCCCCAAAATACTGGATCCCACAAGCTGGGACATTCTGAGCATCAGAATATCTACCTCAGGAGAGGGGCAGAGGAAGACATCCATGTGCACAAGTGTTCCCTGCCTCTGTGAAAGCCCAGGCACATCAGGATATCCAGAGCAACCCACAGAGAAACCCATCCCCTGTGTCCGGCTGTGGACTCTGCTTTGTAATGTAAGAGGATTTAGTCCCTCTAACCTGGCAGAGCTCTCAACCTCTGGAAGCCAACCAAGCCTTTGGCAGGCTGCAGCAGTCACACAGAGCTGGTCTCAGCCCTCTCCATCCTGACACTGTTCTCCAGTGTGCTCCCAGGACAGCAGCCCAGGCGCCAGGGATGGCAGCCAGGCCAAGCAACTGGCAGAGGCAGTGATGTTCCTTGGATCCACACCAGCTCTGGCTTTTCACTCACAGCCCAGGACACAGCTTTTCCAGCACTGATAAGAGCTCTGGGGTTGAGCCAGAAGTGTTCTGTCCACATTCGGGCTTTGGGTGCTGCCCTGGATGTTTCCTCAGGAGCAGGCTGGGATGTTGCTCTACATCTCTCCAGAACAGCTCCAGAAGCCTTGCAAGAGGCACACAAGCAGAGATCCCTGCCCAAGGCAGGAGCCACAGCTCAAATCAAATAAAACCCAGTCTGTGTAACAGGGCTATTAACTGAGCAAGCACAGAGAAACCAGGTCAACTGAGCAGATCACAAGGTAACACGCCAGGCTGGGGAAGAAAGGAGAATGACCACAGGGTGACAGCTCCCATCCTCAATAAACCCTTGCTGAGGTCTCTGAGGAAAGTTCAAAAAGCAGTCCACAATCAAAAAGTTACTTAGGGATCATTCCTCAGATGTTATTTCCTCAGATAAGCACAGGAGAAGCCGCTGGTCTCACCTCCCCAGGCCTGCTGCAGCCATGGGCTGTGCCAGGCAGGGTGGGAGCTGCCAGGGAATTCAACACACCACCAGCAGATCAAAGACTACTTGGGACCAACCACCTGTAGTCTCTGGACAAATACACCTCTTGGCTCTCTTCCTCTCAGCCCACCATCACACTGTTCACACACAGCCATCTCCTCTCAACTTCAGGAGAGCTGCAGCCCCCCCTGCCTTGGGGTCACCCAGACCTGGGTACGACAGCACGACCGGCTGCACATGGAGCACTCACACAGACCAAGGGAGGTCTCTGCTAGAGCACAAGAAGCCTCCAACCTGCCCAGAACTCCAGAGTTCCACCTCCAAGCAGCTTTTCCCAGCAAACTGAAGGACTACCTTTCAGGACCAGAGATAACTGGTCACCGAGCATCTCGTGAAAACTAATCTAGCAACTCTCGTGCTGGTTACAATTTTCTAAGTAATGTCATTTGCAGCGACTCCTGTACCAACAGTACCAGGTATTATCCTAAACCTGCAGTGTGCAGCTTCCTGACTGCCTACAGCTGGCTCCCTAAGCTGCTGTCACAGACAACTAAAAAAAATACACCACAGACACTCCACCCAAGTTCCAGTCCAGTTTTTCAGAATGCAATGGAAATGACATTCCTCTTAACTAAACCATCAGCATTTAAACTCACAGCCAAAACAAACAGAAGCAACATCTACTCCCGAGTTACTCCGAGCTCAGTTGTAAACACTGATGTTCACACTTCACATCCTCTCTCCACTACACACAGGGAATCACCCCCCGATTTAAGGGCATGGACAGGTACCTTGTGTTCAGCGTGGAGCAGAGGGAACACCTGCAGCCAGAGAGGAGCCAGTCCCTGCAGCATCCTTCTGGGAAGAGCGGCTTTTCCATCTGGAGCTGGCTGCCAGGTCACACCGTTGATGCACACAAAGAAAGCAGCCAGGGAGCACACGTGTTAATCCATTATTATTTATTAGCTGTACAGCAGTATATTCTCCTTCCCAGCTTTCAAACCCCATTACATATTTTATAACAGTATTTTTTTTTCCCCATGTTGGCTTCCTAAAATAATGAAAAATATCACACAGTACAGCTAAGTACAAAAATGCATCAACCTAGAGTCTGATAGCTAAACTGATAGCTCTCTTAAAAGCGATACATAGAAGAAAAATTTGTTTGAAATCAGCAAGACTGAGGCTCTATAAAAAGCTTACATATTTTAACATGTGACATTTTCATATACAGGCATCATTTGTATTTCACATTATTCCTTTTTTTGTCTTTATCAGAGATTCAAAAATTGTAGAATTACTGACCTATTAATAAAATTTCCTGGCCCAGGTTTTGAGGGCTGCAGTGACCCACTTATAAATCACCACTTCTGTCTTAACATAGGATTCATAAACACAAAATACAACTACAAGATAGAGCAAAGAAAATGTAGTCGTGAAATTATAACTCAAAAAGAAGGTTAATTATAAATGTTTCAAATTGGTTGGATGGTCACATCCAGAGGGCAGTGGTCAACGGCTCAGAGTCCTGATGGACATCAGTGACAAGTGGTGTCCCTCAGGGGTCCATACTGGGACCAGTGTTATTTAGTATCTCCATTAATTACATAGATGAAGGGATCGAGTGCACCCTCAGCAAGTCTGCAGGTGACACCAAGCTGAGTGGTGCTGTTGACACTCCTGAAGGATAGGATGCCATCCAGAGGGACCTGGACAAGCCTGAGAAGTGGGCACACGGGAATCTCATGAGGCTTAACAAGACCAAGTGCCAAGTGCTGCATCTGGGTCAGGTCAACCCTCCTAATCAATGCTGGGGGGTGACAGATCGAGAGCAGCCCTGCTGGGAAGGACCAGGGGGTGCTGCTGGGTGAGAGGCTGGACACAGCCCAGCCATGTGCACTCACAGCCCAAAAAGCCAACCGTGTCCTGGGCTGGACAAAGGCAGCGTGGGCAGCAGGCAAAGGGAGAGGATTCTGCCCCTCTGCTCTGCTGAGACCCCGCCTGCAGCGCTCTGTGCAGCTCTGGGACCCCAGCACAGGAGGGACATGGACCTGCTGGAGCGAGTCCAGGGGAGGCCACAAACATGATTAGAGGGCTGGAGCACCTTTCCTATGAGGGCAGGCTGAGAGAGTTGGGGTTGTTCAGCCTGGAGAAGGGGAGGCTCTGGGCTGACCTAATTGTGGCCTTCCAGAACCTGCAGGGAGCCCACAAGAGAGCTGGAGAGCATGGGTGACAGGACAAGGGGCAATGGCTTCAAACTGCCAGAGGGAAGGGTTAGACTTGATATTAGGAAAGAATTCCTCCCTGTGAGGGTGTTGAGGCACTGCCACAGGCTGCCCAGAGAAGCTGTGGATGCCCCATCCCTGGAAGCATTCAAGGCCAGGTTGGACAGGGCTTGGAGGAACCGGGGATAGTGGAAGGTGTCCCTGCCCAGGGCATGGGGGGGTAGAACTAGATGGACTTTAACATCCCTTCCAACCCAAGCCAGTCTATAATTCTAGGAAATACCAGGTTTTTGTGCTTCAAAACCAGATTTCATGTGTGGGTCTCTCTTGTTCTGCAAGCAATAATCTGGATACATCTCTTCTCTACGTTATCAACAGTTTT